ATAGTTGTGTACATTAATGCAATCATGGGGTACAATGTGTTGGTTTTATATACAGTTTGAAATATTTTCATCAAACTGGTTAACATAGCCTTCACGACATTTTCTTAGTTATTGTGTTAAGACATTTATATTCTATACCTAGTAAATTTCACATGTACGGTGTAAGATACACCGTAGATGTGGTCCCACCACTTACCCTCCCTCTCTTTCCCTTTTCCCCTTCTTCTTGGGCTATAATTGGGTTATAGCTTTCATAAAAAAGCTATAAATTGGTTTCATAGTAGAACTGAGTACATTGGATACTTTTTCTTCCATTCTTGAGATACTTTGCTATGAAGAATATGTTCCACCCTGTCTTCTTAAAGAAGAGACATAATTGGGTATTTTCTTATTGTATTGGTAAATCCTAGTAATTACTGAACAAATATCTGACAGCTGTTATACTTTTAAAGTAAGAAATATTTTTTAGGATAAATTTTCTTTCCTTAACTCAGATAGTCTTTGAGAGACTTCGTTTAAAAAAAAAAAAAAGCATCAGTTGAGTACTTGTGGTTATAATTTGACTTCAGATTTATAATTCATACTTACCAAGTATAGAAGGTGATTTTTTTTTGCTTTTCATGTCACTGAATTTTAATCCCCTTGGGGAAAGGGGATTAAAGTCCCCTCTAGAAAGGTGCACCATTCCTGGAAGTACTGCAATACCAGGTCAATGTGTGGAGTGGATGGAGCAAGCTCCTATTCTAACTCCCTGCTCCAAATATCCATTTAATATATTGTCCTCGGATAGAGGACGTATCAGATATTAGACTAATAAGGACAGATATTACACTTGATCTTAGCCAAAGGCCGAGAAGCCATAGAAGGTGATTTATTTTTTAAAATAGAGCAGGGCTAGATATGGTGTCTCATTTGTATACTCCTGCTTCTTGGGAGGCTGAGGCAGGAGGATTGCTTGAGCCAAGGAGTTGAAGATTGCAGCGAGCTGTGATGAGGCCACTGCATTTCTAGCCCCAGCAATAAAAAAAGTGAATAAATAAAAAACAAAAAAGTAAATAAATAAAAGTAAAAATAGAGCAGTTTTAAGCTAACAGCAAAATTAAGC